TTTTAATTTTATTTATTGAGAGAGACACAGTGAGAGAGGGAACACAAGCAGGGGGAGTGGGAGAGGGAGAAGCAGGCTCCCCACTGAGCCAGGAGCCTGATACGGGGCTCGGTTCCAGGAACCTGGGATCATGACCTGAGCCGAAGGCAGATGCTTAACCGACTGAGCCGCCCAGGTGCCCCACATTAAACTCTTAATGGGACTACCTGCCCTTTCCCCCAATCCATTGTCTGGTGATAGCTACCACCTTTCTCAGGCTTGTTGAGAGCTGTTCACTACTAGTATCAAGTCCAGGCACTGCAGCATGTCACGCAAGGCTGTCTAGGGTAATAATTTAAGATCACGAGCTTTAGCTCTTAAACTGTCATTAAGGCTTTTTGGATAGGAATTCTGTTTATTAATCATACCACATGCTTGTGAGCTCCTAGCTCCCGGTAGAATATTAGTAGCCGGGTGGGGGCTCCCTCAAAACTTGTAAGTAACTGAAGATAATGATTTTATTCATTTAGGCCTCTGATGGTTTATGTAACTGTTCTATAGATCTTCAGCATTCTTCTCAAAAGTAATAGGCCAAGGCTTTGCACCCATTTAATATGTTACTACTTAGTGGTAGCCATCGCTCGGTAAGTAGGACATAATTTTCTTTCAGCTAAAGAAAGGGTTTTAAGTAACTTGCGGAAGCATGAGGCTCCCCAGCCTCCCCTTGACCTGCACCCAGTGAGGCCTCCTGTGCCAGTCATTTCCTCAGCCGTGCTCCTGAGTCAGAAGGACGCCACCCAGCTGGTGCGCACGGACCTGAATGTGTTGCAGCAGCAGGCCAGGTAAGACCATGAGACCTCCAGGGCCGTGCCTTTGTGCTCGCTGCTGTGACAGCTTGGATGACTGCGTACCTAGAAGGGCTTCCTCATCAGCCACCTCTCCGTGAGGGTAATTTGACCAGGCTAGCCCAGTCAGTTACCTCAGCTAACCAAGTTGTGACAAGTCTCTTAATTTTACATTGAAATGATGTGGTGCTTACATGGACGATAAATTTTACATTTCCTGGGGTGGTATTTCTGAGTGTCAGCAGTGCCAGCCAAGTGTTTCTTAAGCTTCTCCTGAGGAGACTTTCTGATATTGGAAAGATGGTGTTAAAAGGGTATCCAGTGAGATTTGCTTTCTTTTGTCACTGCTTCGCTCCCTAACTCTTCATGTTCTTTAACAAACTGCCACAGGCGCTTGATCAGAGTGTGGGAAAGTCATTTAGTGCTCTGAGTTGAAGTAGATACAGAATGATCAACTCTTGAAGGTTTGATTCTTGCTTGTTGTCTTGTGAGAAGGAGTGTGTGTGGAGTGAGTCTGTTTTATAAAGTAAAAGAGTCTTATCTTCTCAAAGACCATGGGAATCTATCTCTTACTGGCTTTTGTTTCCTTGGCTGTTTTTGGTCCAGGTATTTATTGTGTGTGCGTGCGTGCGCGCGTGTGTGTGTGCGTGCGTGCGTGTGTGCGCACGCGCACCCCTGGCCCCACCAGCGCATGCGTACACACACGTAACAGTATCGACACCCATGTAAAAAGTTAGCTTCCTCCATCTTTGACAGTTCAGTTTGAGTTGCTAATACCTAAGAAATCACTGGTGCTTAGAAGTAAGGTACCCCTTTAGGAATGTTTTAATCGGGATGAAATTCTCATTTGGTCTTGTTTATTTAAGGGTCTGTGTAAAAAACATTGTTAATGTAATACAGATTCTAAATGAAGCTTTGTTCCTGGCTAAAAAGTCCCACTTTCCCTTCTTTTCTTAACTTTCTTATCAAGGAAAAGAGAGGATTTACACACACCTTTGGTCTTTTGTTCCTGTAGAATACTAGGTCTTGTTGCTCTCTAGTGTAGGCTGGGGGTAACCGGAAGCCTTTATTACTTACCATGAAACCCTTCCTAAGCCATTCTTCTACCTCCTGATGATGTTTCCAGAACTGCAGCTCTTCGAGAATCCCAGCAGGTTGCCCTGGAGAGTGAGCTGTTGGACACAATGCCCAAACAGTACGTGAACAGGGAAGAACAGGCCACTCTGCATTTGGAGTGTAGAGGTAGTAGTGGTAAGAAATGCCAAGGACCAGCCGTTGTCACAGTTCAGGTAAGATTGTGGAAGCTTCTTCATGATTCACCGAATTTTTAATTGAGTCCCTAATATTGGCATATTGTTGAGAGAGACAGCAAGAAGTTCATAGCACATGATTCACGTCCCAAAACATTTAATAGTTTTGTGGGGGGGGTGACGGCCCACACGGAGCTAATCATGTATTTCCGTAGTGCTGATGTGTCCTGCAAGACAAATTCACAGAAAAGCAGTTAACTGAGAAGATTCTTAGAGAGAGGGGCTCACACTGGTCCTTAGAAGACTTTGATGATGACGGTTTGGAGTCACTGGGAAGGAATGTGGGAATGGAGTCTTCTGGACGTAGTTTAGGGGGCACCGGCTAGGTCAGTTTACTTCAGGTGGTTTCTGGCTGTGGTGGTGGGAATTCATATCAGAAAGGTTGGGGTTTACATCGGAAAAGAGGATCCTTTGGGAGCTCCAGCCGTGTGCCCTGGCCAGTGGGGAGCCACTGAAGACAGACGTGGAGGGCCGTGTGGAAAGCAGGTCAGTTGGGTGGAGCTTGCCAGCAGGCAGAAAGAAAGAGATGTGCAGCTATAAGATTAGGAATTCAACCGCCTCTTAGAGTCAGCTTCTTGGGTTGGAAAAACAGGCTCAAGTTGGGTCTGTGACATCGTAAGGACATCAGGGTGGAGCTTAGCTTTAGCCAGCACTGTCTAAACACGCTGCAGAACTTACTTTATCCTCCCCACAACCCTGTGAGGTGGGTATTCTTGTTATCTTCAGGAAATAAAGGCACAGAGAAGTTAAGCACACACCCGAAGTGGCACAGCCGCTGAGTGGCAGAACCAGGAAGGCCCGGGCAGTGTGGCTGCAGAGCGCCGCTCCCCACCGCTGCACCCGAGTCCTGTGCCAGGGCCTTCAGGTCCCCAGAGCCGGGAAAGAACCTCTCAGAGATAGGCTGCCTGTTGCCTGACTCCATTTGCACAAACATGGCTCCTCTTCTTTTGTTAGCTTTTAGAAATTAGGGAAAATTTATTTTACTGACTCTTGATTGTCTTTCCAGCATTTCCTTTTGTTCTAATCCGCATTTGAGCAGTTCTGATGTATTCCTCATCAGTCTCCTTGGGAGCCTGTTTTCTCTAAAATGACTCCTCTGAAGTAACTTTTATACTTGTATTTTTCATTACCTTTAAAATTTGTTTCTGATAAAATAATATCTTCGTATGCATCTGAAGTTCAGAACTTTGATCTGGGATGGGAGACTTCTAAACACTGAGTAATGTCTTTGGCCAGGTGCTTTATAAAGTTAATTTTCTTTCAGTGTAATTTTCCCCTCAGTTACAAATACTTTAGTAAGACTAGGTAGGAGCATTTAAGAAGGATCACTTGCTAAAGGAATAGTGCTGGAAGACAAGTCTGTCAATTTCGGATGGAGTTTGAATTGGTGTGAAAAAAGCTGAAATGTATCCAGTTCTAATTAAAAAGGGTGTCTTTCAATCTGTGCCTTCACAAATATGGTATTTTTCCATATTTTGGAATTACATATCTTTGCCAGGCTGTTAATTCTATACAGAGAGGGGAAGTCTCCTCAGATGCATTTTTGTAAATGACTGGGTGAAGTGAGTACAAAAATGTTTTCCCAGTTCTGGCCAGTAGCTTGCTCTGTGAAGAGTTGTGAATATTTGCTGCCCCAGCCAAAGAACAGGTCTCTTTGCCTGACCTGTTAACTCTCCGGGTCTTGGAGTGGAAAATACCACCAGGCAGACTTGGGAGCTTTAGCTCCCAGCCTACCAGTGACTTGGCGCTTTTTCTTTTCTGAAGTAGTCTTGATTTGTCTGAACCCTTGAATTGAAATTTCTTTACAAACTTTTGCTTTGTTGATTCTGAAATAGAAAGGCATACCTTTCCTAAAATTCCTTCAAAGTGATTTTGATTAGAGGGAGATTGGAAAGCGGATGATTTATGATAAGAATTAAAATGAATATGGTTTAGATTTTATTTTTACAAACAAATAAAAATATTTCTTTCTTTTCTCAAAAGAAAAATTGATAGATGCTAAGATTGCTTAAAGAAAGGAAGCAAAAAGAGAGGAGAGAGGGGGGAAAAAGGAGATTTTATAGAAGCCTAAAGAATGTGAAAAAATAGCTGTGTTTTGTGGCCATAATCTCATTAGAAATATCCAAGTTTTCTTAAAGCATGCTGTGATTTTTTGCTGGCCTTACTAGTTTGCCCAGTGCTCTACCTTTCAGTTCCATTTGGGAAGACCTAGAAACTTGGGAACCCCCACTGATGGCTCCTAGAAGTACCAATATCGACACGGTATCTACTTCAGCCATTATTTTGCCTGGTGATGCAGATCTGCCAGGGATATTAAAAATGTGAGGATAGTGAGCAGCTTTTGTAGTCTGATTCAAGTAAGATTTCTTTAGAAAGTTACATAGAAATTGCTAACTAAGTCTATCCTAGGCAGTACTTGCTGGTTGATACTTCTAGGAATTGAAGACAAAAAAATTTTTTTGGCTACTCCTTGATAGCTAAGAGCAAGGTAGAAGAAAGTTGAGACTCTAGCTGTCATGAAGTTGGGGCATTATCTAATTGATGCAAGTCAGTTAGATTCGCTCTGAGTTTTGGTCAGAGATTGTACTTGAGTCTAAAGCTGTCTCTTACACAAATGGATGACTTTGGTTATGGATGTTGGGGTAGGGAAGGTGAGTTCTGACTGTTTAGGACTCATCATGGAACTGCCACTGGGAGAGCATATGCCATACAGAAGATAGATTGTTATTCTTATACAGAGAATTGTAGCCCCTCTGTGTCTGTGTGTCCAGGGACCACTTCATGGCTATATCCAGTAGTTTTGATCCTGTTTAACATAATTCTATCATCTGGCAATGCTGAACGTCATGAGGTCTCTTCTAGTCCCTCCAAATCACTAGCCACTTTGCAGGTTCTGTCCAGGGTTCCTCTTCATCAACTCAACCCTTAGATTGCTGGTTATGAGTTGCGCTTCCCCTGATCCCCTCCGTCATTGTGACATTAGTGGCTTTTGCCTACTATTTGTGTTGGAGTTCCTAATCTAGTGTGGGTGTGTGAATGGTCTTCAGTGGGTCAGTGAAGTCCCTGAAAGTATATGGAAATTTTTTTTCTGGAGAGTTCATAACTTCAGTAGATCCTCAGTAATCCATGACCCCCAAAGGGCTAACCCATATGTTGATGACTCCTGTTCTGCTTTTCTAGTCCAGAATTCTGAGTTCCAAATCTAGATTTCTACTTGCCTATGTAATGTTCTGTGAATGTCCAAAGATACCTCAAACTCCACAGGTCCCAAACTAATCCCACTTTGACCCTCCAAACCAGTTTTTCCTGTAACAGGAAATGGGGACCTAGCCATCAGTGTCATCGCCCCACCCTCATACGTCCCATCTAGTTACTTTCCAAGTCCTCCCGGCTCTGCTTCTGAAATGACTTTACATTTGTTTTCTTTCTCTTCGTTCCCATTGCCCCCAGGTAGCCCCACATCACTTCTCCCCTGAACCATTACGTAAGGCTTCTTGTCCATAGACTCTCACCCTATTCAGTCTGTTTTCCATTCTGCCACCATTCATCTTTTTAAACACAAAGCTCATCGCATTTGCAGGCTGACAACCAGCATTGGCTCTCCAGTATCTATAAGGAATAGGACTCTTGGGACCCCCCGTAATCTGTTCTTCATCAGTTTCTAGTGGCATCATTTACCCTTTCCTGATCCCTAAACATTGTTTTCTAGCCACTCAGGCTTTTTCCATTCTCTAAACATGACATGCACGTTCCTACCTTCTGTCTTAGGCATGCGCTACTTGTCCCACGCTCCTGTTGTCGCATGAGAGCTCCTTCCTCTCATCCTTCCAGTCTTGGGTCAGGCAGTACGTCTTGAGGTCCTAGCCCCTCTAGTCAGATTGAGGTAGTCTCTCATAGCAGCTCGTGCATAAATGCTGTGGTAGTTGCCTGCTGTCTTTCCTGCCAGTCTGTGAACTCCTCGGGGATAGAGTTCCTGTCCTTAGTCGTCTGTGTTCCTGTACCATCGAGCATGGCTCCTGGCACATAATAGGTGCCCTTTCTTTTTTTTTTTAAAGATTTTATTTATTTATTTGGCAGAAAGAGACACACAG